CATAGGGTCCAGCATCCCTTCAGTCTTACATAGGACAAGCAGTTTGGAGAATCCATGGATGGATATGTTTCCAAATTATTTAACCCAAGAATAAAAATTGTGTTTTTCCAAACCCATATGCTTTCATTTTGTCTGTTAAACACAAAAAATGTAATTTCTTTAAAACAACTGTTTTCTTTGCAACATAGGCACCAAAAATAGCACCAACATATAGAATCGATCAATCAATTAAGTAATACAGTTACTGTATATTTTAATATATAATTTTTCAAATATAATGTTTAATGTAAAATGCATACATTTTAACAACAACTTTAATTTGGTTTTAAGGTGTTTCACAAATATTTTAAAATGTATCTCAGCGATATCATGAATGTTGTGCCTTTTATCAACCATTATATATTTCCAATAAACTCCATAGTGTTTTGACAACATTATGGAAGTTCATGTTGTGAAAACCAGTCCTAGCACAATAAAAATCCTCTACAACCAAACAAGACTTTGAAATATATCTTGATTGTTATCTGTGGTGGTGTTCATTCTCATAACCTTCTTCCAATCCTTGAAGGACATTTCTTGGAATGTGAAGATGCAGAAACATAAATTCTCTCTTTTGTTCCATATATGGCAGAGAAATATTGGACAGGTAATAAAGAGTGTGTACTTAGCCAATTTTCTATTTATCATAAAGACAGTTTTTTTAACCATAAGAAGACAGTACTCTGAAGAATTAACATGTTTATACCAGTCCGAAATTCTCTTCTGAAACTTTCTCATGTTGAAAAATAAATACGACCTCACGTTGTGTCAATCACGTTTACACACTGTCTCAGAAACATTCGTCTGTAAAAAAACTGAACAGATTTTCTGTGCTTTTGCATCTGTAGCAAGCATTTTGATATGAAAGGATGATGAATACGAAGAAAAAATTCGGTGTACACTTACCTTTAGACTTGCTATTGCCAATAGATACACAGACACTTTGCTGTAGGCGTGTAAGTTATGCTGCTGCTGCGTGAATAGACATACATTAATCCCATAGCTGATTGAGACAGGAGGAGCTGGGGAGGTGGAGGATCTCATTGGCTGCAGAATCAGCAGAGGCCAGTCAGTTTATTAACAGATATGATTGCTAGCAGATGTATGTAAAAGAACCAATCAGTCTGCACCATCTAGAGTTTCATGACATTTCAATCAAATCTCTGAACAGTTTTGGCAAGTTAAGAATGGACTTGCTACTGTCAATAGATATAATATAATACAATACAAAAGATACTGGTTGCTTGACCATATATTTTAAAAACTATTGCCTTGACTTATGTGTACATGGGTTACTGAAGCTCAGGGTTATTAGGATGCCATCCCCTTTAACCTTTGAGCAAATCCAGATATCTGAGCCTGTAGCGAAATTGCCCAAACTTACCTGTTAATAAAGCACACTGTGTTTTTACTGTAAGTAAAATATCAAGTTGCAAGCTGACAGAGATAGGAGAAAATAATCAATTTTATTTACTTATTTATTTATTTATTTTATTTAACACAGTGTTCCGAGAGGCTGGTCCAAAAGAGTAGTCATGTTGACTCAATGTGAACAACCAACAAAACGCAAGGTAACGTGTAAACTGCACATTCTGTCTCAGCTGCATCAGCCTCCAGAAAGAATGCGTAGTAGCATAGCTTAAATGCCACAGTGCAAATACATACAGATTTGTGCTGCGTGAATCTAGTTGCTTTCTCTATTAGCTTGAGTATGATGCTTGTTTTGCAAATAATGCTTGCAATAGAAGACTGTGCTGTAAATCGGAAGACAGTCTTATCTTTATGATGCAGGGTCAGTTACAATGCTTGGCTGTATCCTGACAGCTACTGCTGCTGTTGTTATTGACTCAAAATGCATATTTTTATGCTAGCTTTGCTTACATGCTTGATTGAATCCTTGCATCATACACACAACTTGCTAAAAATCTAATATGATTTAAACCGATTGCTTAATTTAGGAATCAATAAATGCAGATCATGCAACTAGTAACGGGAGCTTTTGAAACAATGCTTCATGTAGCTTTGGAACATTTACAAAGCTGAATCAGTTGTTCAGAGCTTGCATCAAACTCACCAAGTCATGTGATTTCAGTAGACAGGGCTTCGTTAAATCATGCTGTTTTGAACTTTGGTTTTGATGTTTTTTTTTCTTGAGATTTTCCCATCAGTACACATGTGATTTGGAAAAATGAAAGACTGTTTACTTATCTTAAGATGATACATTTTAGAGGAACTCTAAAAGCATTGAACCAGACTATTTATATGTTGAGTAAGCCAAAATTATGTCCTGTCAGATTTATACAATGCTAACACCACCATAGTACTAACCTTGAACTTTGGGGGTTAGAGAGATTTCATGATTGTAATTTTCTGAAACATTTGAGTGGATGCATTCCTTCCCCTCACAAACGGTCTATAAACCTCTTCCCAATTATCCTTTACACTGCAAGCACCATCATATCTCTCACATTTTCCTTGAGAAGTGAATATGATATCTCTTTACATGGCATCCATCTTTTGATTCATTTCCTCCCAGCCAGCCTGAATGCACCAGTGTAGATATCAGCGCTATCACATTCACTCTCATCACAAAAATCTATTGCATTAAAAACCTTCACTCCCTCCTAAATCCATTTTTTTTTAGTTTAACTGCACAAAACCTGACCACAAACAGATGATACAGAATAAAACATCGTCTGATGGCACAGTGGGCTTATTATATTATAGATCATTCTATCTTCACTAATGTGGCTGGAGGAGGGTAAGACTCACCTGAAAATGTGCCAAATGGCCATTTATCATGACAAAACTTGTATTTTATTTGCAGACAAGGGCATCTCAATGACATTAACACACACAGCACACTTTCAGCTGGGTTTTTGGGGGGCCAAACCCCTTTTGTGTTGAATATAAACTTGCATATTTTGTAAATACCTGTACATTTCTGTGCAGAGGTGGACAGTAGTGAAGTGTTTTAACTCTGTTGTAAAAGTACTTTTCAAGTGTCTGTACTTTATCAGTGTTTTTCTTTAGAAAAGTTTTACTTCACAAGATTCCATAGCATAATATTGTACTTTTTACTGCACTATGTTTCATATTAAATCTCATTTAATACTTACATTAGAAATCCAGTACTTTCTTACTTTTACTCAAGTAAAAATAATTCAAAGTTTTACTTGAGTACAAGAAAGTCCTACGTTTTAAATGTTCTTAAGTATTAAAGGGGTCATATGATGCAATTTAAATTTTTCCTTTCTCTTTGGAGTGTTACAAGCTCTTGGTGCATAAAGAAGATCTGTAAAGTTGCAAAGACTAAAGTCTCAAATCCAAAGAGATATTCTTTATAAAAGTTAAGAGTCAACCACGCCTACCTAAAACGGCTCGTTCTAACACGCCCCCACATGTCTATGTCACTATCTAGGAAGATTTGAATAATGCTGGCCAAATGTTCACGCAAAGAAAGAAGGCGTAACTTTTATTCTGGCTGTAGTATTGTTGCCGTCGCCGCCATGTCGTGAAGGCGCTGTGTGCTTCGTTGTGAAAGCGAAACTACTTTGTTTGGCCTTCCAAAAGAGGACGATATCTGCTTCGTCATGCATGGAGCTGATCCCTGCTGGTCACTGAGGAAATACTTCAACTTTGCGCTGTCGATCGCCGGATCGGCTTTCACCGTGGACGAAGCGGAGTCCAGCCCGGGGTCGGCACATGTGGTTGAATCATCGCTCCGGCCTGACAGGGCATCATCACAATATGGTATGTCTATGTCACTATCTAGGAAGATTTGCATAATGCTGCCCAAATGTTCACGCAAAGAAAGAAGGCGTAACTTTTATTCTGGCTGTAGTATTGTTGCCGTCGCCGCCATGTCGTGAAGGCGCTGTGTGCTTCGTTGTGAAAGCGAAACTACTTTGTTTGGCCTTCCAAAAGAGGACGATATCTGCTTCGTCATGCATGGAGCTGATCCCTGCTGGTCACTGAGGAAATACTTCAACTTTGCGCTGTCGATCGCCGGATCGGCTTTCACCGTGGACGAAGCGGAGTCCAGCCCGGGGTCGGCACATGTGGTTGAATCATCGCTCCGGCCTGACAGGGCATCATCACAATATGGTAAGGGACGTAACATTTCCGTCACACGCTTGAGGAATTTGGCCAATCACAACGCACTGGATAGCTGGCCAAATCAGAGCACACCTTGCATTTCAGACCGATGAGCTTTGTAAAAATCTACGTGTTTTAGAAAGGCGGGGCATAGAGGAGAAACAATAATGTACAGTGTGTGGAAAATAATGTTTTTTTTATCTTTAACCGCATAAACACATTTCATTACACCAAATACACAAAATAATGTTCTTTTTAGCAGCATCATGTGACCCCTTTAAAGGTAAAAAAAAAAAACTTTTATTTATGAAATGTAGTGCAGTAAAAAGTAATTATGCTTTGAAATGTAGTGAAGTAAAAGTTTTCCAAATTAAAAACACTGTGATAAAGTACAGATACTTTTTAAATTTACTTGAGTAAAGTAAAAATAAATCCGTTTCGGTGCATATATTCTTCACAGAAAACATTTGCTGTGCTCAACATAAATTTCATCATCATTATGCCAATCCATTAAAGATGCTAAATTTTGAATGGATTTTTTTTTATATTGCAAACATCATTTGCCATGACGATGCAATGCTTTAATGATGAAAAAAAAAGTGTCATATTTTCTGTGTGCATTGAGTGATTTAGATTAAACTTCAGCTGTTAGACTAAACATGAGCTGATGTTTTGTCATGGAGATTGTTCACATACAGTACATGTGTGTCTCTTACAACAGACTTGGAAATACTCATTTTGTGTGCAAAAAGGTTTATTATTCTTTTAAATGTAAATTAAATGTAAATATAGCATTTCAGTGTAAGACATCAACATTTTGTCATTTGTAAACTGAAAAATAATAAATAAAAAGCAATGTTTATAAAAAAAATAAAATAAATGACAGGTGTGACATATTAATCGTCTGACATTACTGACACAAAATTCAGACAAAACCCCTACACTTTGCATTCTCCTACCATATGGTGCTACTTGAAATTTCATTTGGAGAAGCACTATATGAAATTAATTTATTATCACATGCGCAGAATCTAAATGTATTTAAAGCACTAAAACTTTCCATCCGTACAAAGTGAAAGAGATCAAAAACAAGCAGATAGGAGGCCATCAATTCAGGGTATTTATTTTCAGTTGAAATGATTGGACCAGTTGAAGTTGTTTGAGATTTTCTTTGATTTAGGAGATACTTTAGCATCTGAGCATTCACCTGTAATAAAACAGTAATTAGACGTAAGTGAAAAATTCAGTTATTTTATCAGTGACCATGAGGATCGATAAAATATACCGTTCATTGGCAATATGGCGATGTTTTCCTCAAGGATGCCGGTGTCTAGGGAGAACTGCTTAAACTTCTCCTTCAAGTCATCAGTTATTTTTCTGGTACGAGCTGTGACCGTGACACATTCAAAGTCTGTTTAGCATTGTTTCATAAAAGCATTTAAGCTATATTGTGCAATGTAGACAAAGGAATCTCTTACTGTGAAGTTTGTTGAGAATCTCAGATTCCCCTTCCTTGGTCTTGATGGTGTGAACAATAGCATACTCATCAAATTTGGCATCAACCACACACATATCATTGAAATTTCCCCAAACTGATAGAATTAGACACATTTAGGCTGAAGAAACCGAAGTATGGATGATAAAAAAGCAATCTGACAACAAAAACCAAAAGACTTACGCTCGTTGTTGAAGACAAAGCGTCCAGGAATCTCAGTTTTCTTGGCAAGATGATGCATCCTGAAGCAGGAACCATCACTCCTAAGAAACAATTTAAGCAATTATGAGAGAAAAAAGCAAAGCAAAAATGAGAACATTCATCAAGACTATTCTTTTTTAACACTAAGCTAGCTTACTTTAGATGACTGTAACTGAGGTCAAGGTCTCCATCTTCAGTAGGCACCATTACGGCAGTTGCCATCTTCATGTCAGCCTTGTGATGTGTGACAAACCTTTCTGCATTTGTAGCAAAGCCAACGAGATACCACTTTCCTCCCATGTGTTTTTTTTTGTTGAAAATATAAACATAACATTAAACCAAACTTAACATGAGAAATTTCCCAAAACCCCCTGACAATATCAAGATACCTTAATTTATATTATTTTACAGTAAAATTGCAAGGTACATTATATATTTTTTTTACCATTTCCAGGTCGAAGTCAGGCATAGGCATGACTTGAGCAGAGATGAACACCGCACAGAGCAGAATGCACAACGATTTCAATACAACAGTTGTCATGGCTGAAGATAGAGTTGTCTTTCTGCTGTCTTTCATTAGTGATGCTTGGCAACCTCTGTTTTATAGTGTAAAGTGACCCCTCAAACCCTCCTTACTTGAGTCCCTCCCAGCTCCATGTAAAGTTACACAACACACAACATGCACATGTGGATTTTTCCAGTAGTTTGAGGGAGTTCAAGGGCAGATTTAAATGCTTTGTTTTGACCCCCAGACTGATGTCTCAATTTGGCCTTTGAATGTATGCAAACGTGACTATTGAAGTTGATGTCTGAATTAAGCAACATTTCCATAAGACAATTCTGTGGCATAAATAAAAACGTTTGTAATAAAATGCCAAAAAAAAAAAAAAAGCAAAACTGTACTGCACAAACACATTTTAGAATGCTGGATTTGCAACATGTTTACCCCATTTTTCCCCCTGTAATATCTAGAATGGATTGAGGGAAATCACCACTTTCAAAGCTTATTATCAAGGAAGTAAGATATCAAAACGAGAGGGATACATCCCTTTCTATATCTATGCTAGTAATACTAGTAAAGTCCTACTTACTACAGTGAAAATGATGTTAAAAGCTAGTATGTCTATTGCTCATGATCAAACTAAGAAATTTAATTTTTAAAAATCACAAAATCATGAAATTACAAAATAGCTATACCATTTTATTTTCAAACTATAAAATACTATACTATAACTATAAAATAACGTTTTAAGCATGCATATGCTGAGCAACAGAATGTTTTCTCAATATGCTCACAATCACAGGGTAAGATGATGATGAGATGATGGTGAGTCAGGTTTACTGTAGGTCATATCTAGTGGACAAAGCAATGAGAGTTGTTAGGTTTAATGTAGAGGGGAGACAACAAACAGAGAAATTGTATTGTTTCTTTGCATTACAAAATTCAATTGAGGTTATGCACGTTAGCAACACATGCCTGTAAATCTGAGATGGGTTAGAAGTGGCTTACTTCAACTAGCCAATGAGGGTGGTGACAATTTGCCAGGGGTTAACAGACTTTTGGCAGTATTTGTTTGTTTGTTCATTTGTTTGGTTCCAGGGCCGAAACGAAATTTCCACTCCCAATCCCAATCCCAAACAAGATCACTTAAGATTACATACAAAATAACATAAAACTGATTATGTAAACACTCAAATCTTAAATAACAGCATTGATACTTTTCCAAATTATAATTGTATATTCAGTCCAGTGAAAATGTCAAAGGGTCAAAATAAAATAGGAACCAAAATAATCAAGGGGAACCAACTTATACAGAAGATGTTACAATTTCATGACTGGGTTTTTGTGGCCACGTATGCGCTATAGGAAATTATTAGTTCCCCTCCAGAATTCTTGTCCAACTTGTGTGTTTTTTCGCTGTGTAGGCTACAGTATGTACAGGAAACATAAATGATTATAAGGGTGACTATGATACTTTAATGTGAAATTTGCTGTGATGTTTTAGGTTCTGCTTTAAGGCAAGTTTATATTGAGAAAAAACAAGACCCCAGACCACCCATTTGGCAAACAGACAAACAAACAAAAATCTGTTTTCAGATATATATATATATTTGAAAATATGTTTCAAAATTATTGTACATACATATATTTTCTAACATAAATATATTTTCTACCAATATGTTTTTGTTACTTTTTTTTTGTATATTTTTTAAAATATACAAAAGTATAAATATATTTTATAGCATTACACACACACACACACACACACACACACACATACAGTGGTGGCCAAAATTATTAGAACACCTGACAAATTTCAAAATATTGACCTGTTTTTGCCTCCAAAACATGATTTTCATTTAATAATGTTCATGAAACATGCCGATGGTTGCTCTGAGTATAACAAATATAAGATATAAGTCATACTTATTTTTAACTTTGATATTTGGTATGTCCACCTTTTGCAGCAATTACAGCAGCACATCTCTCTGGCATAGTGTCAATATATTTCCCAAATTTGCTTGATGGGGTTGAGGTCTGGACTTTGAGGGGGCCAGTCCATCATTTTCAATGTTTCAGCGGATTCCTTCCGTCGCAGGTAGTTCAAGCAATAGTTCGTTTTAGGGGTATTGTAATGGTCAATTCAACAATGACAACTGAAACCTCTTAAATATTCCAACTGTTCTAATAAGTTTGGCTGTGTGTGTGTGTGTATAATGAATTTATTAATGAAATTAATTAAAGATTAGTTAATTTTACTGAATGAGATCCAAAAAATTCAAAAGTATATATATAAAAAAAAAAAAAGAAAGATCCAAACTTCCCATCACTAGTTGAAGCAACACACTTTTTGAAATATTGAGCTGATTGCCTGAGCTCTGTTTTCTAAACCAATTTTAAAGCAGTCCAGGTCAGGAAGCATACATTTAGATTATTTAATCCATAGCTTTACTAACATTCCTTACACCAGTTTTCTTCTACAGCTCTGTTCACAGCCGTCCATGTTGCCACACGCCGATTTGGATGATGACTCAGGTTTATCATTAACTGCTCCACAAACCCACACATACTCATGCACACAAAAACAGACCTTCAATATACAGTGGTTTGCAAAAATACAAGATAGCATAATGCAACATTACAGTGCAAAAGGAAATAATGACACCCGAGGGCACAAGCATTGAAAGTGCAGTACTTGGTTGGCAATTCTCTAGGTGCTTGTGTGTACATTAGTTAGACAGACAGAGGGCATCTGTGTGTGTGAGTGACAGGAAGTGGGTTGATGGGCAGTAGTGTGATAGGAACTGACAATAATTCGATTCCAGCTGTCTGAGGCATCCTGACCTGGAGTCATGCTGATCAGATTAGGAAAAGGACACCAGCAAACTTCTGAAAATCTATGACTTCATCTCTCTGTGGGAAGGACATCTATTTAGTCATTGCGGTTGGGTATAGTAACAGAAGACATCCTCTCTTATCACTTTCTCTCTACTCCAACCCAGGCTCTTCTGAAATACATGACACTGGCTACATTTTTGCAAAGCTGCAAAAACATACCTGTACATTTCACTGCAGTTTCCAGTGGAAAAGAACACTAAAGGCAGTAAAACACCAATAACTTTTCCTTTTTCGAATTATGATTACAGGGGCAGATTATTGATTAATAAAATCTATGTTTTTGCGTGGTTTCTTGTTCTGATCCTTAAAGTATTTTTACCATAGTGCATTATTTGTAACCGAACACATTTTGATGTTTGCATCACATAATTCACTCCATATGTATGGCTTTTCTGCAGTATAGCAAACTTGCTTGCCAGCTCACCTGGTACAGCCTTGCACTTGTGATGTGGCGAGCTTGGGTAAGAGGCCAGTGAAACACTAATAATGATAAAAGAGTTTAAAGACTCACAAAAGCAAGCTTATATTAGCATACTTGCTACAGTAAATGCTTTTTTTTATATATTGCTTGTTTTTGCACACACTACACTGAGTTATTACAATGCTGGGTTATTTTTTTAACCCAGATGCTGGGTTCAGCCTGTTGGGTCATTTTATTGGGTTATTTTTAATATTTTTACCCAGGAGCTGGGTAGTTTTTCTGTAACTAAGTTGCTGGGTCATATTTGACGCTGGGTTATTTTTTTCTACCCAACCGTTGAGTTGAGCCCAATGTTGTCAAGTTTGCGGTTTTCCTGCGGAATTGGGCTATATTTTAACATTGTTGCCGTGGGTTGTTTTTCATGTCCGCGGGTTGAAGTGACCCCAATAATGTGATATTTAGCCCCTAAAATGCGAACTTTACAAGGGGAACCCCACCAAAAAAATGTGAATTTTTTCTCCTGGAACCCAATTTTTATCGGGGGACCCCCTCGAAACGCGATTGGGCTAGTTTTGGGCAAGCAATTGGGCAGGTTTTGTTGTGAAAACCTGGCAACCCTGGTTAAGCCTCTCTGACGAAACAACCCAGCTGCTGAGTTACAGTCAGAGCGCGGGCTTATCGAGTCCTCTACTGGAGAGAGCGGTTCTCAGCAGTAGCCCCTCACTGCAGAACACAAGATCCAGGGGGCGTGGTTGGATCCACATCTAGGGGGTGGAGATGGGTGGGTTTAGGGATCAGGGGGTGGAGACGGGTAGGTTTAGGTATATGTAAGATGGGAAGAGTTGTATCTGGATCCAACCACACCCCCTGGATTTTGTGTTCTGCAGTGAGGACCATCTCGTTCTCACCGCCGCTGCAGATTTGGTGCACTCTTTATTTCTTTATTTCTTGAAGTAATAGTTAGAATACATTTTATTTAATTTATAAAGTCTTTAATGAGGTGTAAATTATATTATTTTACACAACGCAACATAAGGATGAGATCATGTCAGTTTTTTTCACTGAAAACGCCTTTGCCTTGCATAACATAAATGGATTTTATTGGTTATAATACTGAGTGAAATCTAATTTGATGTTAAAATATGTTCTCTAATCTCAGTACTGTTTGTGTATGGGCAGGTTTTGGAGTCAGTCGTGGCATCTTTCAGCTACGAGTGAAATGTGAGGCTGCGGTCTAAAGTTTGCACTAAGTTCCCCCATGAACAGCAGCCCTTCACCAGCTCAGATTTCGGCGACATAACGGAACGAGAATTAGCACTATTTCAGAAAAAGGTTATTACAGAGAACGGTTGAATACAATTAAATTAAATGCTACTTTTAAATGTGCCTTTTTATTTCTAAAATGCTTGTTGCATTACACACACACACACACACACACACACACACATACAGTGGTGGCCAAAATTATTAGAACACCTGACAAATTTCAAAATATTGACCTGTTTTTGCCTCCAAAACATGATTTTCATTTAATAATGTTCATGAAACATGCCGATGGTTGCTCTGAGTATAACAAATATAAGATATAAGTCATACTTATTTTTAACTTTGATATTTGGTATGTCCACCTTTTGCAGCAATTACAGCAGCACATCTCTCTGGCATAGTGTCAATATATTTCCCAAATTTGCTTGATGGGGTTGAGGTCTGGACTTTGAGGGGGCCAGTCCATCATTTTC